AGACAGGAATAGGCTAGGCCTACGTGTTTGCAAAACTGGATAACCTGAAAAGAAAAAAAAAGTGTATGGCTCGCATGGCTCGCATGACTCGCACATTGGCTCGCATGACTCGCACATTGGCTCGCATGGCTCGCTGGCTCGCACTTTGGCACTACTCCTACAAACATAACAACACATTAACCAGTCCAATGGTGATATTAATATGAAGAATGGAAGACAGCTGTCTTTATTCAAAATGACTGACAATTAAACGTTTTAACTTTATTTCAAATATTTTTGCAATCAGCCATTCCGGTATTAATCTAGAAATTACTTAAGGGTTCTTTAATCAGCAGATAAACATATCTTGTTAGAACAACACAACTAGCGTCATGCTATTCTTCTTTGCCATCTACACATTTTGAAACTTGAAATTATTTCATTAGGTATTTATTCAGTTTGTTCAAGAATATTGCAAGTCTTTTGCATTGATAAACTTTAATAACAAAAATAAAAATGTACCAATAGATGTGGTAGTAGCTATCTACATGGTGTAGCGCAAGCTGGTGTAATCAAACAAGAACCACAATGGGAACCATTACACCAACCCGCTCTCTCATCCAGTGGCGTAGAAAAATATTTTTCATTGGGGGGGGGATGATTGGCGTGTTAGCCAGTGTCGTAACAGGCACGGGGGGAGGGAAGGGGCAGGGGGAAAACTGGGGGGGGGGAAGGGGAAAACTGCCCCTCCCCTGACGGTTTTTACCGGACTGACCAAGCCGTCGTACCGGGCTGGGTAATAAGAGAAAGGAAAGAGGGGAGAGGGAGGGAAAGAGAAAGAAGAGGAAAAGAAAAGGAAAGAAAAAGAGAAGAGAAAAATAAAGACAAGAATAAAAAAAAAAAAAGAAAAAATAGAAGATATCATAATGACCAGACTCACAACACCCTGCAACCTCGACCCATTAATATTGCTTCCATCAACAATTATTTCTTCATATTTTGATTTAAAAGTCATTTACAGACTTGTAATAGGGAATATTAAGGTAACCACAGTAAACAAAAAGAGGAACTTTCAGCAAAGAACTCTAAGAACGAGCAAGAAATAAGAGAATATCTGAATTGCATAAAATAGAGTTAATGGAGCTACCAAAGATATTAAAATGTATACGAGATTTAAGATGGATTTCAAAAAGTTCGTAGAGAAGGCAACTCAACCAGAACAACTGTCATTTAGACTCAGATCCTGCTTGGGAAATGAAGTCAACAGAGTGGTGCAGGCTGGCAAAGACGACTCTGAGCAAATGTGGACTTTGTTAGACAAGAAGTATGGGGACAGATACAAGTTGGTAAATGCTCTCACTAGCGATGAAGCAGAAGCCCTTAAAAGAGGGAGAGGATAGCCAAATCATTGAATTCATTGGTGGATGGCAATCAAAACACGAAATTAACAACGCCCAAATTATCACCGAAATCGAGGGTAGGTTACCAGAAGACCAGAGAAAAAGGTAGGTCAGGCTGATCCACGATCCACAAGGGAAGAATAAAGTGGAGAAAGATGGGAAATTAAAAATTCTCTTGGACTATATGGAGGAGAGTAAGAGCCTAAGGTACATGACGACAGGCCTACATGGAGCTGCAACACAACCAAAACTGCACAGCATGGTCAATTTTGTGTCGATGGGGAAAATTCTGGACGAAGTCTGTTTAATACACGAGGATGGTAAACACACAACGCAGGATTGTAGAATGTTCAAGTCTATGACAGTTTACGACAGAATCAAACTAATGAAACAAAAAAGAGCCTGCTTCTAAAAATATAACATCAAGTGAATCTGTAGATTGGGACGTTGCGGTAAAGAGGGTTGTAACAAGACACATCACCCATTGATACATTGCGCATCGAGAAATGGAGAAGTTGTTAATGCAACACAACAGAAAATAGCTGAATGGTGAATGTAGCACAACAGAATATCTTTATTACACGTTCCACATGTATTTTGATGGCCAAAGAGTTACAAACTTGCAGAGAAGGGATGACCACTGATTCGCATGTATGTATTGTGTTACTGCTGTAAACTTTGGAGATGGACCATCAGCCACCATCGCTTTCAGAGCGTTACAAAGGACCGCTGAGCTATACAAGAATGAGTTCCAAGAAGTCACCATGACTTTGGAAAACAATGTATATATGGATGATATTGAAGATAATGTACCCAACGTAAACAAAGCATATGAGAGCAAAAGAAATTGACACTGTGCTGACCAAAGGAAACTTCAATTTTGCATCATCTCATTTCTGGAACTGTCTTCAATATATCATGCTATCAGCAACATTACCCGACCCATTCATTTTTCAAAAACTTCTAAAAATGTATCTCTTCACCACACTGATAAATTTGCATTTTTATTGGGATGCTTACTCTGGCCTTTGAGACATTAATCTAGTCTCTAAATTTGGGAAGATGTGGATATTTCAAGAAATCTATCGTCAAAGGTCAAAAATATCATCTCTGTTCACTATAAGACAAATAAATATATAAACACGTACGGTATGTTCTGACTGATGAATATGTTGGTTATCCAAGTTCAAAGGTTATAATGTCATTTGGACAATATTTTGCATTAGATACTAGATACACATGTACATTCCAAACAGAGATCAACATTATGAGAAAATGCATATGCTACAGGGTACCTACTGTAGGTTTAAAGGTCAGAAATGTCATTCAAAAACGCTGCAATAGTTAAAATATCAACATGCATATTCTCTATAATTTGGGGCCAGAATTAAGTCTCCATGACCAATGGTTATAGAGGTATGGATATGCTACAGGGTCCTTAGGTTCAAAGGTCAGTTCTAGACAAAATGGTGCATTAATGTAAATAGGAATATGTTCCGAACAATTTGAGGCGAAACGTAAGTCTCTATGACCAATGGTTATGGATATACACCATGGTACATATGGTTAAAGGTCATAAACTTTATTTCCGGTCACTTTAGGGCAGCATTATGCATTAGTGCAAATAGGAACATGTATGTTCTGAACAATTTAAAGTCCCAATTTTGAAGATATGGATATGCTGGATATCTAGGGTCAAAGGTCAGAAATGCCATTTCTGGACAATTCTGGGCAAAATTAGAGCAATTAGAAACATGCATGTTGCGAACAATTTGAAAACAAAATTCAGTTTCTACGATTTTCCGTTGCCAAGATAAATGGATTCCGTCTTTTAAAATGGCGGCCATAGGAGGCGTCAGAAACTTGGCACACAATTTTTTTTTAAATCTAAACATATCAAAAGATATTTTGTGCCAAATTTCATGTTTTGGTAATAAAGTGCACAACTGGGTCCTAGCTGCTCCACTAATGTGATTAATGGTAACCCTGAACTAGTCTGTTATGTGGCATCCTTGCAAAGCACGACGAATACTGTAGACCACACAACGGTTGTGGCTTGCACTCTCAACCAGGTGGTCGGTAGTTCGAAACCCTCACTGTTTAATTCGCATTTGTCCTTGGGCATTGCAAGACACTTTATCTACGCACGTCTCTCTCTACCCAGGAGTATATAAATGGGTATCGAGCATATGCAGGGAAGGTAAAAAAGACTGCTGTGCGGGAGGAGTGGCGAAACCCCAGTCTTGCACAGTCTAAAGCCTAAACGTAGAGGAAGGAGAGACGGGCACTCCGGCCTGTGAGCCTAGAGCTTCAGGTTTTGATCTTTACCTTACATCGCTATTTTAGCCACCACATTACAGCCCAGCATGACAGCCAGCAATACACCACCATCACAGCCATACAACAGGAGCAGATTCAAGGCATGGTCAGCTAGCCCGGGACCACACTTTTTTTTTTTAGGAAAATGATAAAAAACAAGGTAGAGAAAAAGAAATTCAATATTAGGTTTAAGAATGCTTTTTCTGACCATTTAGAAATTTTAAATTTCAGACTTGTTGGGGCTAAGGTGATCTCAGCCATCTACTTGTAAATGAGCAACGGCAGGCCATTAATACCGCCATCTTGGTGTGCCTCAAGCCAGACACAACCCCTTATCCAAACATGCCTAATTAGGAAAACTAAGTGCACCATTCTGGGACTGAGATTTTTAATATAGACTGAAGTACCATAAACAATGAATAAACAAAATAAATATTGCAACAAAATCATAGTGTACAATGATTGTAGCCGCATTGTACTTTGTTGAACAACAAAATATGCAGATTGATGGCTTCATGTTTATTATAAATAAATGTTTGAAATTATCCTGTAGCCTATAGAGTACCACAGTCGTGTCGTCACAACACCAGGTTGCGCCCTCTGGACGTTGGTTACCGTTCATTACGCCTGAATGACTTCATAATCTTAATGGTTTAGAATAGGCTTTCTGGAATAGGCATTTTAAAACTAAATAATTTACCATCAAAATGTACTAAAAACAAAAGCTTGCATTATTTTAGTTAAATCAAACACACATTTAATCATCAATTAACATTTACAAAGAAAAATTAAGGTACAACTTCTTAACAATTACAATAAAAATTGAGATCAATGGGTTTTCAGTGGAGAAAATGGCATCGGTTGAACGCATTTGTGTTGCCGATAGCAACGGAGTAGTATCACATGGTATCATGACGTAACACTGTAGCACTCTATAAATAAGACAGATTTGATCTAGTTGATTTTGGTGATTTCTGTCACCCACAAAATATTTTAGTGACCCACTGGTGGGTCATGACCCAAATTTTGCTGAGTGTTGACCTACACCACCAGCAGCAACACATGCCACGACAAGTACAAGAACTGTTGAGAACATCACTAAAATCACTATTAACAGCAACAGTAACAGGACATGCCAGGCATTAACACCATCAGTTGGCACCAGGGCTCCAGTTACCACCACCCCAAATTATTATCCCCACCACATTATATACTAATCGTAGCACTGGTTAATGCAGTCCAGTATAGAAAACAATGCAGATCATAATGCAGAACATGATGGAACAATTTTTACAACTGATGTTTTTTTTTTGCTCTCTCCACATTTTTATTACTGATTGGCTTTCATTCTTTTAATAAAAGTAGAATTTTATTGAATAACCGTTCAATATTGGAGTCATTCATTTTGCTGTTTTTGTAATTGGGAAAGATTCATTGAAAGTGCCTGCTGATTGGCTTGTAAATATCTGCAAGTTGTTGATTGAGTCGATGAAAGTAAACCAGCAAGTTGAGAGTGTAAGGCTTCTATTGACGGAAGACTGGCAAAGTTCTCCAAGTCTCCAGCTGACATAAGCTGGTCTTCCAATAAACCTCCTGCAAATAAAAACGTCATAGCATCAACATGCTCCTGAACTCCTTCAATATGTATTTTACAGATAGGAACACACTCTGGTTCTGCATGTTATGAATTATAGCCATAGCCTACATCTTTCACCACTAAGTCTCAAATAAATTGTCTTAAAAGATTATATTCTCTCACTGGGAATTTCACTAGTGTCCTTGAGCCCTTGAGCAAGGTACTTTTATATCTACATTGTTTCAGACTACTCAGCTGTACAATTGGTACCAGCAGGTTGAGTGTCACAATCTCAGTAGTGGATTCAAGGAAGCGAGGAGAGCTGGCCCGCCCCTCCCACATCCTAAATTTACCAAAAATTATTTTTAAAATGGAGAAAAAAAAACATTATACAGTATTCAAATTGAAATCTAGAAGATAATTTTCCTCAGCCCCAACCATGGTGGGCCCGATGCGGTCTAGACCCTCCATTCGTGGTCAAGTTCCTCCTTGGCCCCATCTATTTCAAATTCCTGAATCCGTTACTGATCTCATCCACTTCACACTACAGAAACTGAGGATAAATCTCCATATATGATCTTGTCATGCTTTCTTTGCTGTTATCTCTTCTCCAAACTCATAACTTTATGGGAATTATGTATGGGAATTTAAGGTGTTTTTGCTGACAATCCTAAATGCACTGCTGGATATATGTGCTAAATACTATGCTAAGATATAGAAAGAAGGAATTTCTTACCAATAAGTAGAATATTTGGCAGTTTTCTGGTTGATTTCAACAACTCCTTCACGTTGAGTTCCTCTGACACTGCAAATAAATTATTACCAATAAATAAAGGATGCATGTTGGTGAACTTGGTGCCAGATGTTCCCAATAACGCAGCTTCATTGCCAATGATAAACAGTTGAATGTTGAACTTTTTAAGGGTTTTCTGTAACATGGATTTTGTTTCCATGTCGATACCATTATGATGGAAAACTGCTACCATCCTTGAGGAGATCAAAATATTGTAAAATTGTCTGGCTGCAAATTCCAGGGCTGGATTTGGCTTAAAAAAATAAAAATAAAAAACTATTAAGTATTTTTCATTGACTGAACCAAAAATGTGTTTTTTGGCTTTTCTTGCATATCCTGCACAAAAAAAGCCATTGTTTTTGTTCTGAATTATTTTCCCTTTTATCCAGTATTCCTATGGTTTTGCACAAGGTTTTTCTGTCCGGCATTTTTGTCAATTTTTACAGTAATAGTTCTTCTTCAAACTTGACCAAGCGAAAGACCATATACTAAAGATATGCATATTAAAAATATGACATTTTGAGTATTCATAAACAGGTGATTAAAATTTTATGTTAACACAATTTGCATTTTATAAAGCATTTCAAACTAGCTACAGCTAGGTTAAAGATAAAATTACTGTGAAATGCATTAACAATTTTTGCCTTCAACTTACCCAAGATAAACAAACTAAATATGCACTGGTCTCTGTAAGGTAATTGTAAATAACTCCACATCACCCTTGTCAATACCAATGCATTGCAGCAATAGTTTGTGTCTCAATGAAGCCAAATTGGATTTCATTTTTTTTAATTAAAATTTTTTTTTCGCACCACACCTTTAGGCTGCAACGATCAAGAGGAAATAGTCATTAAGAAACTGTAGGTAGCGGTAGCTTTTACTACGAAGAAATGAGAATTCCGAACTAAGCAATGCGCATGCGCAGTTACCAAATAACATCCGTGAATTATCTATAAAAACACAGTGAGCATGTGCTTGGAGATGCTAGACAGCCAGTGAGCATGTGTACTGAGTAAGTGACGTTTATCGAGCTATGTCAATCATGCGCAGTTACCAAAAAATCGTCTTAGGAAACATCAGCGGCTGCGAAGAGGGTATGAAAAAAGAAATGGTAAAACTATATATGCTATGGATGGAAAATAATGAGGGTCGAAAGCCTCTATTTTGGCTATCTTTACAGCCAGTTCATCAGTGTTTGTCAGGGTGAATTGTAATTAAATTATCGCAAGAAAAGTATTAGGCTCTATCGTTGTACCTACTTACGTAGACCTATGCACTGACAATCCCATAAAAAATAACCACAGAAACTGACAACACAACCTAGGGCTTACTACTAACCAAGTAGTAGAGCCAGGGTATTCCACATTTAATATCGAAAAATACAGTACTTTACGCTGAAGAGGTTTAGGCTAACTATTATCGAGATATCGTACGGTACTCATGTTTTATCGACCCATAAAAAATAGCCACACACCGGTGGCAGTAGTAGAAAGGCCTAGCCAAGCTAGTGGGGAAAGGGAATGATTACAAATAAATAAAATATTAAAATTAATATTACAGTATTATTATTAATATTAATGCGGTTTGGCTTAGTGGTTTTTATTCTGGTTACAAACAGTAACAGACCCTGATGGATGGCAAAACAAACAAGGGAATACAACGTAAAAGATTAAGAGATGAGATTGATATTTATTGGGGAAGAGTGCAACACAGCCAGAGAGAAAGATCGATTTGGCGTCAACATAATGAAACATCTGTCCAGCAGTGGACCGATAATAACTGATGATGAAGCTTCTGAAGGTCATCAACATGGTCGAGCCTTGAGCCTAAAGCCTGGTTCATGTCAAAGTTAAGCCACTTATCTAAATCTTGAAATATGATACGATTTTCCCTAGTTGTGTTCGATGCCAAGTTAGAGCCTGATGAACAACAGTCAGCCAGCTTTGAGGCCGTCGACGTCACATGGTGGAAAGGCTTGTTTAATAAAGTCTATCATATTTTACGAACCTCTAGTACCAAGGGGTATTTGTTAAAAAAATTGACAAATTCGTAGTACTGTAGATCAGGTGTCAGTGTCCACTACCTAGCCTAGCTATCCTCTGCCATTGATATAGGCGACCTGGTAGTACGAACCAACCGACAGTGCAGCAAAGTGGTCTACCGCAATGTAGTAAACTAGGCCCTATTTTTATTTATTTATTTATTTGTTCTTTATACTGGGTTTCCTCTTCAGTAACAAATTACTGTTCTCCCAGAGGGCCCAGTACACATAAAACAGTCCACAACACACAATACAAACATACACACACGATGCTTTTCACAAACTACAGTAAATCTCAATATGAGGTTTAGGGAGTAGAGTTGTTTTGGTCGTGAGAAAAAGTCCTGCAACTGACAGGAATTGAACCCATGACCCTGGGATTGGAAGGCAAGCATCTTAACCACCAAGCTATTCAACTCCACTCGTAAAATTTAACTTCGATAAAAACCAAATTATTCTAATTGGTAGCATTCTCCCATTAACATCATATTATTTTATTTCTCATTAAAACATCTGTACAGTATACTTTATGGACCTTTTTGTCATGTTTTTTTTAAGTTTTTAGATCGCTGAATTGTATTGTTTACATGCACTTCTTTATCACACTTTTTTATCTAATCATCGTAAATATGTGCACTCATTTTAACCACTGGCGTTGGTGGTAGTTCGTTGAAACTGAATTAATAGCGACTATTATAGCAGCAATGGAAAAGATTGAAATTGTCAATAAATAAATACAACAAATCTGATTTTATTATTAAGAAAAATATACATTGTCACATTGAAAGATGTACGCAATCGGACTTTTTGTCGTTATTACTTGGTCGATGATGCAAAGGGCAAAGGTCATTTGTAATATCGACTATTCCTAAAACGGACGTTTGCTGGCTTTTTACCCATAATATTACAAATAATTTCTGAAAACCAAACTAATGAGACTACTTTGCTGCTGTCGTTAGCATTGTTGAAGTACGTTGTTGCCAGCCAGAGGATGATAATGGTGGTACAACACAACAATGCTGGCTTTAGATGCCTACGTTACGTAATCGTGTGTCCTTGTAATCCGAGCCGACTTTATCGTTAAGCAATTTAATTTACTGTAATATTCTAGTGAAGTTAAGTCACTTAACGGTAAGTGACTTAAGCCTTTATCTAGCTATAATTGACTGGTTCACATCAAACTTTTAACTAGTTAAGTGGATCTATATCTAGATAAAAGTTTGACATGAACCAGGCTTAAGTGACAGCTTAATTAATCTACCATATAGGATTACAACCCAGGCAAAGTGGGGCCCAGCCACAGATAGAATCTTAGATGACCCACCCTTTAATAATTCCATATTCGTTTGGATCAATCTATTATTTTAACATCAATTTCATTTTAAAAATAATCTTTAATTCATATACAGTATTACGCATATTGCAGTAAAAATTAGGCCTATCCTTAACAATAAATAAGTATAGGGCTAACTTAAATACGATAACAAAATTTACACGTAGGATAAATTTGGAAGAAGCTGTATACTGTACACAAATTGAATAAGCTACAGAAGTTGCAGTGATTTTTTTTATAGGAAATATTTCTTGTTAGTCTGATTTCATTTTCCTTTTTTTATGAAATTTAAAATCATTTCTAATTATGGCATTAAGGAAAAGTGAAATTCCTGTTTTACAAATAGACAGAGTACAGTAAGTCTAGTTTCTATCATACTATCTTTGAAGAAAGTATAATCCTACATATTATATTTTTTAGGAGTCATCCCGTATCACACTACATTAAAACGTCCATTTTACGTACCCCTTGGTTCCAAGGGGTATTTTGTAAATTGAAAAATTTGTGAACTAGATCAGGTGTCAGTTTCCATTACATAGGCCTACAGTAGCTATCCTCTGCCATTGAGCGGCGATAGGCTGACGGCGGCCTCGCTTAGCACAAACCGACAGTGCAGCAATGTGGTCTACAGCGCTAAATAATCTAGCAGAAATTACCTTCGATATAAACCAAATTATTGTAATCGCTGGCATTCTTCCGTTTAAAAGAATACTGTTTTAATTCTCATTAAAATATCTGTATGTTTTAAAGACCTTTTTATCATGTGCTTTATATGTGCGCTCAATCTGACGACTCGTGTTGGTTGGCAGTTCGTTTTTTGGTTAGGTTTATTACATTAATATAGTAATTATTATAGAAGAAATGGAAAAGATTGAACTACTGTATTAATAAATAAATACAACATTTAAATACCTGATTTTGTTAAGAAAAATGTACACATCAGACTTCTTTTACGGTAATAAGTTGTCAATGATGATGTCATGAGCAGCAAGTACCATTCGTAAAATCGACTATTCGTAAAATCGATATTCATAAAACATACATGTTTTTAACTGTATCTTAGTAAATTATCGGGGATGGATAAATTTTAAAAACAGGGAAAAGACCAGGGTAGTCTTTAAATCTACCTCAGCGGCAAAATTTGAAATGCTCAGTCAAAATATGGAAGATCACATTCCTCCATTCCACTACCTACATCTGTCACTAATATTTATGTTTTATTAAGCTACTTACAACTGCATCTGCCTGAACTGTTTGCTTAGCTGGTATACGACTACATAGAAGTGGTAAGGGACGAGTCTCCGGTTTTTGTTTCCATTTCGAAACTTTCATTAGCTTTGCTCGCATTATGTGCATTGGCATTGGCTTTCTTGTGTTTACAGATTTCATTGTTCTAATCACCATCCATTGTGAGGTCTGAAATGGAACTGTAGATAAAGAATTTTAGGTTTTAACATAAACAAATTATAACATTACAGTACACTCGAACTACAGTGGTAGATCCAGGAATTTGAAATATGGATGGAGGGACTAAACTACCTCAGGTGCAGGTTCAAGTATAGTATGTCATAGGTATCAATTTAAAATATTTTTAAAAATTTTCAAAAAACTTAAGCTTACAGCTTACCCACCCAGAAAATCTCCCCAACCCAACCTAGGAAGGCCTGGCTTGAGAGAGGCCTAGGCCTCACTAAAGTACAGCATTGCAGCAGCAGTCAGAAGGACATCACTAATGAATGCCAGTCAATTTGAGCGAATGCCAGTTCGAGCGGATTAATTTAGTGCGAACTATAACGAGGGCGAATTTATAGTCGCCCTATTCTTGTATTTGTGACTAAAATATTTTTGTTTGTCTTAAATGCAAAAATGCTCTGTGCACTAAAGTTCTGAAATATTTTTGGTACATAGGTATGTGTAATTTTAAATTGTTAACCTAAAAAACAATTAAATACGACTCCTATACATTAGGCTTCTCCCCCCCCCCACATGAACCCACCAGGGCTTTTCCGATGGCTCCCAGGCAAAGTTTGAGCCTCGGCCGAATGAATAGGAAATGTTTAAGTAATTCGTAAATAACTCGCACTAGCTGTAAATGGATCTTCTTCTGCTCAAACTAGCATCCTCTTGAAGTACTGTAAATTCCACTCGAGTCTGCTCAAACTGGCATTCACTCAATGTGGCATCCGCTTGAATTGACTGGTTCCAGTCACCGGTTAGGCCTATACAAGCCTAGCAGGACAGGCCCCTAATTTGTAGTCCCAGTCTAGTAATAAGAAACACAAACAATTTCAATAAATAAATGAATGAACACAAATTTCCTTTAATTCGTTTAAACATTTTTATTGTCAATATACCAATGTACATTACACAACTACCAATGCCAAAGCCATCATATACAATCATTACTTTATCAATATCCACACATTACTTATGACGTGGGTGCGATGTCGGGCATTCTCGACCCAACTTGTGGCATTCATCGCAAATGGGCAAGACCAGTTTGTATTTTATAACAAGTTCTTGCGGCCTTGATCTGCCGTCTTCGGCACAATAACAGCAGGTTAATGGGTTGCCAATTCCTCCAGAGTTGAAGGCAAATTCTATGTGGTTTGCACATGTTACTCCTCTGCGTACAAAGACCTGCCAATGAAGAAGAGTTTGGGTGGATAAAGTTTGCATGGTTTAAATATAAACCTGCTAAAATGGGTTAGGGAATTGTCCTTTCATTCCATGGTACAACACAATTTTTTTGTCAATGCACTGTGATTGTCTTCCTCAAAATTTCTTAAATATAAGCAGCTTACCTTTTTGTATAGGGGATGGTTTGTAGGGATTAGTGGGGAACCACATGTGTAGTCGTACTGCTCAACTGCTACCTCAAGGTCCATCAACTCTTGTATAGTTACTTTTTTAGGTTCCAAGCAAAAAACAACCCAAGGTTAGTTGCACTCCATGCAACCAACATTGTGCAGCTGCAGCTACCTACCAACACAACGAGCAGGCCTGACCACACCACGAGTGGAGAAAAGGTTTACAGTTCCAAGCATAAAACGGACGTAGAGGGCGGGGGCTATGAAGCCGGTGGTAGAAAAAAATCAACTCTTTTTAACCAAAAAAAAAAAAACATTTGAGCAAAAAAAAAACCCGCCCCTGATTTTTCGGATTTTAGGGGCGGCGGATGAAGGCAAACAAACAAGTTTTTTTTGGCCTTATCGGTGCAAATGCACTTTTTAGTACTCCACCCTAACCCTAACAACATTAAAGCACCATTTCAGGCAAAATTTCAGTTGTTAAGAAAAATCTGATTTTTATATTAAAAAGGTTTATAAATAGGCCTATGTAACATTAAATTGCTAGTTTAACTGAACTTAGGCATTACTAAACATGAAAAAATTAATGCAAAATAATAATGAAATTTGAAATTTTGTGTTCCACTCAAAAAATAAACGTGGCTGAATTGTTTATGTTTTATTTTGCGACAGGTCTGTGAAGAAATATAGTAGGTGCTGGAAACATTTGCCTATGAATACTGCTAGACTAGGCCTACTCGATCGACCGCAGTGTGCGAATTGCAAAGTACAAAAACTAATCTCATTAGAGAGGACTCACTTTATTGACTGTATAAAGCATACACAAATGTGAGCATTCCAGTGGATGCGATCTACAACCTCTGAATTTGCCTAATAACAAACAATTCATCAAGAAAATGGTAATCACCTATGAGAAATAGTCTCTATTCCTCTTCTTTTTTTTTTATCCTCTTGCATAAAACTTAAATTTATGCCAATGTTTTTTCCATGGTTTAAGATAATTAGAGTAATGCACTTGCCAATTAGTAGTAGTCTGGATCCGGGCCACAGTGGGGCACTGGCAGGGACTGGGCCAGGATGTACACATACCTGTACATGTAGTTGTGTCCCCGTAGTGCAGGGACGTACCTAACATTCACCCGTAGATGTAATCCGCATCGAAAGGGCCGGGAATCTTGCACATTAGAGTTGTCAGGGGTTTTGGATGTACTGTTGTCAAATGGTCTGGTTCTAGGTCTGCAATTCACCTACACTAGGCCTAAGCATTACAGCAATGGCTGTGTGTTTTAAAATTAAAAAATCGCCTACTGGTACTCCAGGCCTACCAACATGGTTTCATTTTTTATTGTTTGCGTCAAAAAATTACACCATTAGTGACCAAGGCAATTTGGGAAATCTGTTTCTACACTACTGTTATTTTCTTATAAATAATTCCTGTTTCATACTGAAAAGAAATTCTATCAATCAGTTACAGTAAATCAATCAATCAATTTTCTTTTTCTATGATCAAACAATACATACTTTTCCAAACTTCTATGGAAATCTGCCTAATGATACTGCCTAGTGTTGCATGTAACCGTTTCATAAGTATCCCCGTTTAAGTCCCCGCTAGGCCCAGGTCCGAGGGGGGAGAAACTACAATTGACATGTGCATAATAATGCATATGCATTTTTTCTAAAAAAATTCTTTTTTTAAGTGAAGTTTTACCAGGAATAGGCCTACTAGGCCTAAGGCTTTAAAATTGTGATAGCTGAACTGCTGGAGTTTTTAAGTTAAGGTTAGAAGGTTAAGGTGGAGTAATTAGCGCCGTATTATCCCGGGTACTAAGCAGCTTTCGATTTGGACGATGCGGCGTTCTACAACGGGCAGTGGAGCGTGAAACCGTACAGCACATGCGAATACATGGGGAAGTCGTTCGTTGTGTGGATTTGACAAGCTTTAATTAAGCGATTTGGTGTTGTGTTGACAACGGCAACGTGAGCTTTATAAATATGCGCTCACTGGGGCGCCTGCATAACGAGGGAGCGCGTCGTCCTGTAAATCGAAACAGCTTTGATGTTGAGACGGGAGATGCATAGTACGCGTTCATGGTTGAATGAATTCTCCATCGCTGCTCCCCGTGTCGTCCATTTCGAAAGCTCCCTACCATCAGTAGTAAACAGTCCACACAGAGAACTAGGCTACCACCCCCCCCCCCACCACCGCTTGGCCTAGGCTGCCTAGAGTAGTAGGCCTATACAGGCCTAGCCTAGGCCTCCCCTGAGGTAGGCCTAGGCTAAGCCGCCTTTAGGCCTAGGGCCTACATAGGATAGGGGCCTACTTCTAGGTCTAGGCCTAGGTAGTTAGGCCTAGCCTAATCCATAATAAGCCTTGATAAAATTACTTTAATTAAAAATGAAGTGTTACCTGCACGAATCCGTTGTAATAACACTGAATTCATTTTTAAATGCTTAGGCCTAACCTAGGCCTGGACTTGTGCTTTCAAACGTTTCTTCCCGTTGTGTTCCCAATCAGTACAAATACAGTACAATAGCCCATCTCTGCTGCTGTTCATCATCAAAAACGTGTTAGAACAGCGCCCTCTACAGGTACATACTAATTTAAATTTCCAACAAAAATTAATAATATATCTTCATATTTTTACCGCCATGATCTTATTCATTATCACACCTCTTTATTCCATCCATACCCTCATTTTCCGCCTCATTTCCACTACCATAAAAATTTGAAAACAATCAAGAATATGTATAATTTGTTTATGAGGCGCCATGTGTTTTCTTATTATTTAGCAAAAATTGACATGGTTTTTTACGTTATATATTTTATATAATATATGATATATTATACATATACTATATAAAATATTATATATTATATAAAATTTTATATAATACATAATTTTTATATAATATATAATGTTTTATATAATGTATTAAAAATTACATATTATAAATTATATAAAAATTTAATATTATATAAAAATATGTTATATAAAAAAATTTAATATTATATAAAATATTATATATAAAATATTATATATTATATAAAATATGATATAATATATAAAAAATATATATTATATAAAATATTATATATTATATAAAAAATTACATATATAAAATAAATATATAACGAAAACCCTATGCCTAACATTAAATGAACAATTGGCACGCCAAGTGTTTGTTTAATATTTAGCAAATGTGTCTGCATAACGAGGCCACTTGACTTTTCAAATTTACCAGTGTACCTGAAGTTTTAATTGTACTAATCACCCAAAAATGAGAACGATTATTGTTTACTGAGCTTTTAAATGTTTGCAGTCTTCATTCAATATACATTCACTTTTTAAAAAATAAATCAGCATCAATCAGCCTGTGTGGCGCTTCTCTATTTAAAGAAATGTTTTTCCGCACTTCTGTGTAATTGTGTATTTCTTCTCATGGTTCTTATGTTCTTATATTCTCATTGGTCATATCCGTCCTTTTTTAACTTTCTGTATTTTACCTAATAAATAAAAATAAATAAAGCTTTTCGTACTCCTGTGTTATTGTTTGATTAGTCTCAAGGACCGCAGCATAATTAATAATAAATGACACATGACAGTCGTATAGATTGCAACCCTCACCTTTGTTTAACTAATATCATTTTTTTTTTTGTAACTGTGAAGAGGCCCATAATTGGTGTATTAGTAGTATTCACCTCTTTTGTTTTAAAATAGTATACGTCCAATAAAAACAGATTAATAAAATCATTTATTCTCACGTACAATAAAAATATTGATTTTTAATAAATGGACTAACTCTTGTAAATAATTGTATCATTATATATTCTGTTTTATTTATGTCCTTCGATTATTTTATGTCTAACTTCTTAAAGTGCTTCTGCCACCTATTCTGACAATTTCTATAAACTACAGCGTGTTTATATTTATAAATATTATTATTATTATAATTTTGCATTGGGAAGACAAATTTTACTTGTAGTTTGTTTTACAAAGTGGCAATAAAAGTATTTTGTATAAAAGCAATCAAGCAGGGTAAAAACGGTGTGGCCGCACCCCTTGCATCACCAGCCTACGACCTGAACCGCGGTATAAATAATAATAAATGAAACAAGGCAATCGTATAAATTGCAACCCTCAACTTTGTTAAACTAATATTAAATTATTGTTTTAGTAACCGTGAAGATGCCCAGAAAAGTTGTCCAAAAATAATTTACAACAAATAATATACGTCCAATAAAGTGCAATACAAACAGATTAAGAAAATAATTTATTCATAACTCAATCCACATGTAGGCCTACAATGCAGTGGCGTAACGGATGAGCTCTCACTGGCTAAAACCAGGGGCCCACTGGAAGCCTCAAGAGCCCCCCAACAAATACAAAACCGTGTTTTTTTACAACAAATAACCAAGGCTCTTTTCCAAGCCGAAGTCTGCCTGGTGATTGGGGCGTTTTTATTATCATCACTATCGCCAGTCAGCGTTTTTTTTTTTTTTAATAAATGTTTTTTAAATATTTATTGGTTTTAATTGGTCGTTTTGTTTGATATTTTCTGTAATATGTTTATAAGTGATATCCTAGTTAAAATTAAGTATGCTTTTTTTTGGGGGGGGGTCAAATCGCGATACACAAACTAATTCGAAAGCGTAAAAAAGGCATTAAAATACGTCATAGAACGCTAAAAAGCACCAGAGCGACCCCGTGGCTCCCAGCGCCTGGGAGTCCTAGAGGCCCGGAGGTCCCCTGCCCAGGGGAGACAATGCTGATTTTAATATATAGACAACTCTTGTAAATAATTGTACCATTGAAAATTCTGTTTTATTTATGTCCTTCGATTATTTTGTCTAACTTCTTTAATTTTTGCATTGGGAAGACGAATTCTACTTGTATTTTCTTTACAAAGTGACAAAATAAAAGTATCTTGTATGGTAGGACATATCAAGTAGGACGTATCATTTCCTGATAAGAGAATGTTTTCCAATATGGCAATAGGCTATTGTAGCTTACGTTATAATCTAGAATACGGATGGTAAATCCATATCAGCACCATATCTGTGGAGGACCTTCAGTACTACAACTACTGAACAATAGTAAAAATAAACATATTGAACATAATAAACATTTGTTAATTTGTATTATTTTGCTTTGTTGAAAATGTACTTTTTTGGCGTAGGCCTAGCATACAACTTTATCGATCGCTAAATATCACACTGTTAGATTTCAAAATGACATTTCACTATACGTGTGTACATGATCAGAAGATTGGAAGTTCACAACTCACATATACGGGACGACTGGTCGGGATATAGATTTACTATAATCATTTTTATAGAAAAAATATCAAATTTTTTTTAAACAATTCTTGACGTAAGAATCAACAATTTTTATATGAAAGTTAAAGATGATATTTTTTAAATAGAATGTCCTATTGAATGAAGATTGCAAACATATAAAGGCTACGTAAACAATTGTTTTTAAAGTTCGTTTCTCCTTACTCCACTATAGGCCGTGGTATTGAACCTTTGTAAGCTGGTGGCCAGTTCCAATTCATTGAGACCAGCGGAGGGCCGACATTTCCTTTTTTGAATGATAGCCCCACCCATTCCTGTTTTTGTTTTTTTAATTAGGCGTTATGCAGTGGAATATCGAATAGAGAAGGGGTGGACTGTAAACGCTCTAAACAAACAAGCACCCCTAGCTCTACTCTATACCAAGAGGGGACCACTACCTCAGCCCCACCATGTTTGGGGCTGAGGTACGTAAGATTTTAAAATGAACATAATGCTCGGAAGTGGCCCTCTTATTGTATACTTTATTCCAAAATACAAATAAATTTGTTTCTTGATAAGTACAGCTATAGAGTTTAACTTAATTTTTTTCAAAGTTTCAATTAGAATGTTTTCTAGGATAATACGATTTATCTTTTTCTGGTGATCTTAATCACTAATAAATGGCCCTCTTAGACTACGTTTTCAAAGTATGAGTGTTCCCAAAATAGGCTTATTCGAATTCCCCCAATTGTCTTGATAAATGCAACGTACAATAACTAATCACAAGACTTTAACAGAAATTGTATATTATTTACAGTATATGATTTTTGAAATAAAATTTTAATATATATTCGAATTCCCCAACAAGGTCCAGAATTTCCCGATGGATTCATGTAGGCCTACCACGAGCCTGCCCCCTATATAATCATTCATTTCCCATCAGTTCCCTCTCCCCCCGTCAATTAATACTCAACGCCGCTAGATATAGTTAACTATGATGACACTTGTTAACAACTGTCAATTATTACTTTCTTTGTGCTTACTGTGGTATGTTAAGCGCATGGAGGTCTCCACAATGTCGACCATTATTACTTAAAAACGCTTGGGTAATTATTCCTGTTTATCTAACGTTTTCCCCATTGGCGGATCTGAGGGGGTCAGGGAGGGCCTGACACCCCCCCCCCCCCCCCCGAAAATTAGGGGAAAAAAAAAATAAAAAAATTATCTTGTACCGGTACACACATAGGCCTATTTACTGTAATAAGAATGAAAAAAATTACCTGAGCGTTTACAAAAGGGGAAAACTTTTAATTTGAATTAAAAGACACTTCAGAAGTCGGGAAAACTCATTTCTCACCATCCAAGTACCAACATTTTCCGGGGAGGACCCCGACCCCCGTTTTATTTGAGGTTCATCGATTTATTGAAAAAAGAATATGTATGCAGCGACTCAATTTTTGTTATGTACTGTACATCAACATAGTAGGGCTTCTAGTATTTACAGTAATAAAAATGAGATGTTTTCCTGACCGTTTTGAAGCGGAGGAAAACCTTAAAATTTAAAGAACTTAAAAGTCATTAAAAGACACCTCAGAAGTCGGGAAAGCTAATTTCCTGCCATCTAGTGATCAAATTTTTCTTGGGGAGGACCCCCGGACCCCTTCCTCTTTGAGGTTATCCATTCATCGAAAAACGAATACGTAAGCAACTCATTTTTTTAAATGTACGTATACACATATAAATAGGCCTATTTACTGTAATAAGAATGAGAAAGTTTACCTGACCGTTTTCAAGAGGGGGAAAAACCTTGAATTTTGAAGAACTTAAAAATCAATAAAAGACACCCCAGAAGTCGGAAAAGCTTATTTCCAGCCATAGTGATCATTTTTTTTTCCGGGGGACGACCCCTAGACCCTTCTTCCGCTTTGTGGTTATCTATTCATGGGAAAAAGAATATGTAAGCAACTCAATTTTTTTAATGTACGTGTAATGTACATAAATTGGCCTATTTACTGTAATAACCCCGGACCACCACCCCCCCCCCCCTTTCTTCTTTGGGGTTATCTATATTTATGGAAAGAAGGAATACGTAAGCAACTCAATTTTCAAGGGGGATGGGGTGGAAACCTTGAATTTTGAAGAACTTAAAAGTCATTAAAAGAGACACCTCTGAAGTCTTGAAAGCTCATTTCCCGCCATCTGAGAATCAAAAATTTCCCGGGGGAGGACCCCCAGACACCCTTCCTTTGGGGTTATCCATTCATGGAAAAAAGAACACGTAAGC